AAAAAAAAAAAAAAAAAAAAAACAAACAGTTCAGTGATTAATTCAGTTGAAAATTACAGAATTTGTGTGCTCCAAATCTCGGACTGCAGATCTTAACTTCAGTTACGACAACAATTTGTCAGGATTGTTCTCTTATAAACGTTCGTCTTACGAACGAGAAGGGAAAGAAAAGAACAGTCCTCGTTGCCTTGAGGTATTGATAATGTTAGTTCGTTCTCTTGCGTAATAAAATCCACTCTACTTTGGCCGCTCATGCCATGCTTCGAAATGGGTTTTTCCTACTGATTCGCGAGCAGACACGCGTCGTGAAATTTTGCGAAACAGGACACGACGCGAGATGGACAAGATGACAAACTTATCTCTTGAGAACTATGCGCATGTGTACTTTGCGTATGCAATGCGGAAGTTTGGCGAAATAATAATGAATATTTGTGCAAAATACCGTTTTGCTTTATTCCAGGGACGGATTTTCGCGCTAGTTTTACACCGAGTCTGAATTTCATATGATTTTCCAGCAGCGAACTGTGTGCCACGCGGAAAAGTGTGTCACGCATAGAGGAAAATTGCACGTAACATGAGAGATGTTAATTCTTTTTAACGAATATTTTCATAAAAAGCTCTCTTTATAATATCCCAAATTAATTAAGAAATAAGAGCCCTAAGAACCAAACGCAATTCGAATTGAGGTCAATTCTAAAATTTATTGAATGTTTAATTTGCACTTCGCATACATAAATAATTATGTAATAAAGCGACTGCACTTCTGTGATAAAGCGAGTGCGAAAAGTCCGGATTCAACTCCTGGCCAAGGTGTCTTTTGCAATGAGTTTTTTTACATTTCACAGGAGAGTAAATAAAGATTATTTATATATACAAGATGCAAATTAAACTAAGACGTATATGTTCAAGGAATTAATTTACGTTTAAAAATACATATTACGCATCCGGCTCTTGAGATTTTAATTTCTTGATTAAATGTTTTATTTAACATTTATAAATGTTTTATTTAACATTTATATAATGCAAATTATATCGTGATAGAATTATTAATATTGATATCTTATCATTAATAGTGACGAATAAGTAATATTGCCTCTTTGCAAATCTTTGAATAGGATCAATAATACACTTTTGCATTTAAAAATAAAATACGTGTACAATTTTTACATATACACATTTTGATAAGAAAAATAAAAATAAAGAGCAAGAAAAAAATTTGACAGACACGGGCCAAAATATTTGCTGTCAATACTGAAAATATATAATAAACGTGACGTAAACTATGGATTTTTAGTACCGGTGAAGTTTGGAACGCCGTATTCGTCTGCTCTTATGTGTCATCAAGCGCGACGCATGTAGAGTTAAAATACAGTTTTAGGTTTTAGGTTATGTAAGGTTATGTTTGTCTCTGGCCAGATAGAAAAGAGTTCTGAATTATGGTTGGTTTCGGATGGTTGCTGACGGTTCTGCGGCGATCCGTATGTCTCGCTCAGAATTCCAGTCGCGTTTGCGTGACGCAGACACTTCAAGTTTATCGGTGTCAACCGTACAACAAGAAGTTCAAACAGGACAGCACCGAGAGCTCCGAGAAAAAGGTACCGAGGCCGAAGACGGTACCGGTGCCGAAGATCACGCTGCTGTTACCGGACAACTCGATGACCGTGACCGTATTGGCGGAAGCCGAACGTTTGGCGAAACGCCGTAATCTCACACTCGTCAAAGTTGAGGATTTCAACAGCAAAACACAGCGACCGCTGTACAAACTGGCGAGCAGCAGTTCCACCTTGTTGGAGGAAACTACGGAAGCAGTCGAGAACGTCAAAGATAGTAAAAAGTCCAAGGAGAACAAGGAAAACTTCAAAGACTGTAAGATTGTTTACTTGTCCGCGAAAATTGCCGAACACGACGTACGGATAAAAGCGAAGAATATGGTGAAATGGTTGAATAAGAAACACCAAGTCAAAGTGATCATTAATCTGAATGACAATGTTGAGGTAAATTCTCTCGCGTGAGGAATGCTTTTTTCTTCAAATCCATAAAGTTAACAGATTTGTTTTTTTTTTTTTTTATATAGGAAACAATCAATTAATGTGTGGTTGTTGTTTCATTTAATGCGTAGAATAAAGCACAGAGCATCATAGAGGAAATGATGAGAGATGCGGGCACGATTCAACAAATTCCATCAAAGAAGAACTTCGTTTCATTCTTAATAAGTCCTTTGTTGAACAAAAGTGAAGATGGTTCTGTGTGTAACAAAGACAAGACTGACATATAGTTACAGATGCATCTAATATGTGACTAGCCGAGATAATAACGCGTAAAATTTATTTTGTCTTAATGAGTTACGTATAGAATGATATAAATGAATCAGTGATTTTTTCATCTCTTCATTTTGCGAACGTGGATCTTCTCGTTTACACACTGGTTGAAAATTGCTGCGGTAATTCATCGCGCTGTTATCCATTTAAAGAAAATAAATTCTGTACATCTATGAAGTAATGATATATTTTTATATTGATTACCTCTTGAATATATGTATTGATTATATTTTTGTTTTGTGAATATATTATAAGTATATATATATATATATGTATGTATATATATGTGTGTACATATATAATAATCTTATACAAAAGGATAAGGACTTTGTACTACACGTTACAATTTCATTATTGTCAAGAAAGATAGAAGTTCATAATAAAAATCATCTCTCGTTAAATATTAAACGAACAGCTTATCGATAATGTGTATATCTACATCATTGTTACAATTGTATACATTTCTATAACATATGGTTTTTTATTTTTAGAATATTAATGTCTCTTCTCAGCTATGTAACTTATAAACTTTGGTCTTACTTTGAGATCTCTGTAATGATACATGTGAAATTTGTGAATATAACATGTGAATATACGTGTAAAAATAAAAATGTTATTTTCACAAAATGATTTTTTTCTTTTTTTCGTCTTTCCTGCGTTCTACAAGACATATTTGCGCAAAAAAAGTAACTTCTAAGTACAGTTTGAACGATGCATTGGAATGCGAACGTGTGGTCTTGAAAGCTAAAGAAGTGACGCGCGAGTCTGCTGATGTATGACATGTATATTTAGACACCTATATATATGTATATGTATAGTCAGACACACGTATATATATATAGTTTTTGAAATAGGTGATTAAAAAAAAAAAACGCAATTTTGCGCCCGTTCGAATACACTATTAAACAATCGTCGCCAAAGGTCGTCACGAGGTGACGCGGTGCGATTTTTATGTGCGTAGTAAATCGCACTGGAAGACAAAAAAAACAAATTTCCACAATAAAAACATCTCTTTCTCTTCAGCAACATAAATCTCATCGAGATTATTTATATTTTGCTGTCAGAGTTATTTTTATCTTAAATAAAAATATCTTTGAGAAAAAACATCTATTTATTTTCATAAACCTCGTAGATTCTTTACGCAAGAACCAAAGTTCATTCATCGTCCAGTGCGATTTTTTTTAATAACTCTGCGATGTATATAAATTCTCATATTTATCAATATCTCGATATCTACACATTTAGCTTTATAAGTCGTCCTATACACACGTTCTGTGAGTTTTAAATTACGATTATACGATTTTTATTATAATTGATTTGAGAAGAACTGTGTGAACGCGCGCACACACACACACACACACACGCACACACAATGAAATCAGTGATCCGAGACACATCGTGTGCGGATCACTTTCGACGTTCGATCTTTGCTCAAAACGGATCTTAAGACGATATTGAATATCGGCAATAGAAATCTGTAAACTGACGTTTCGAAAGATTTGAAATTTCTCCGTACTTGCTACGCAAATGAAAATTGCTTTCACAAAAGCAATAAATGAATAGTGCTAAGATTTCTCTAGATAATCTCCTTAGAGTGTCGGAACTGAGTAAAAATTTTTTATTTAACAGTTTTCTATAACTTAATACAGTTTGCTATAATTTAATTTTCATCATTGCAGAATTGTTTCTAAGCTCTAGACACGTAAACTTTGACTCCGTCATCTAAGAAACGTGCGACATAAAAGAATATTATGAAACAATCGATGTTCGTGATGACTATACACGCTACCATATGCTGTCATTGCGCACGAAAGGAAGAGTTCGAAAAGAGCATTATATAATACATTCGCTTTAAGAAACACTATATATAGTTTTTCACATTTTAATCTTTTTTGCCTCTGTAGAAGCGCTTTTCATTTTTTTTTTTTTCATGCAGTAAATACGGAGAAATTCGGATGCTCTGTCGATTTACAGGTATCCATCGTCGGGTATCCGGTACAGGTATCCAGTATTCTCTTAAGACCAATTAAGACGATAAGTGAAAACAGGTACGCGTTACTGCGGACAATTGCTTGTCCTGGGACACTTCCTGAGTTCCGCCAAAGCCGGACAGAGTTTCGCCCAAGGTCCCTTCGGTTTCACCATAATGCTTCTGACTCTGCTTTGCAACGCCTCGCCGCAAGTGGTCTTGCTACACTTCGACCACGTCGACCACTGTGTTACTTTACAATCCACTGAAACGAAAGTATTTGATAGTTTTGACAAATAAACTGGTAATGCAAATTTAACAAATTTGCGAACAATATAAATTTTTACGTTCCAATTACGAGAATTTACCATCGTTCTCGACTTCGTTATTCTTGTCTCGATGAAATCGCCGACGTGTTCCGTCTCTTTGTAAAGCTGCAAAATTTCGTTGGAAATTTCAATTTTTCTTTTTTTTTTTTTTGCGGAGAACATTTTGCTTAGATCTCGATACGACAATAAATTAATTCACTCACAACACTCCGGTCTCTTGTTGCACTTTTTCTTACGGAAGAGTTTCTTCGGACAGCTCTTGCCTGCGCCTTTGGATGGACTCTGCAAAACAGAATGAGTGATTTTTCGAGCGTACAAGTCGTACTCCGAAGAATATCGCACGTGATTTATGTTTTAAGAAAAATACCACAACAAGCCTGGTACTGATCATGAATCCACGACAGCTCCTGCATTCCGACCACTCGGACCATTCGGACATCTCGCAATCTTTATTCTCGATTGATTCTATTATCTGACTGCCCGTCTGAATACCTTTGAAATTCTCCTCTGTAAAGGATAACGCGAGATGACTTTTTAGCGAGGTAAAGATTATACCGGGTGCGTATTATTTTAGGAATAATACATATAAATTTTCTAAAATGAATATATATGTATATATATATATATATATATATATATATACAGGGTCCGCCACTTAAATCCGGACAAAAATTTTTTTCTCGAAAAAGTTGTTTATTACAGAAAATATGAAAAAACATAAATAAACTGCTTTAT